CAACTCCTGGGCTCAAGCGAGTCTCCTGTCTCAGCCTCCCAAGTAGCTGGGACCACAGGCACCCGCCACAACGCCCGGCTATTTTTTTTGGCTGCAGCCATCATTGTTGTTTGGCGGGCCCGGGCTGGATTTGAACGTGCCACCTTAGGTGTATGTGGCTGGCGCCTTAGCCACTTGAGCCACAGATGCCAAGCCTAGAATTATTTTATACCTGTTTAATTGGTTAAAAATAAAATCTGAAGTTGAGACATAAACTTGCTAGCAAAAAGGAAAAAAAAAGTCTTGCTAGCAAGTTCCTCTAGCAGGACTCAACCCCAATCTGTGTACCTTGACTTACTGTCTTGATCACAACAGGCTAACTGCTCAAGAGTCAAGGATATATAGTGTTAAGGTTCTAGATAAGAGGGCGGCAACCATGGCTCAGTGAGTAGAGCACCTGCCCCATATACCAAGGGTGGCAGATTTGAACCCAGCCCTGGCCAAAACTGCAACAACAACAAAAAAAAAATAGCTGGGCATTGTGGCGGGCACCTGTAGTCCCAGCTACTTGAGAGGCTGAGGCAAGAGAATTGCCTATGCCCAAGAGCTGGAGGTTGTTGTGAGCTATGATGCCCCAGCACTCTACCAAGGGCAACAAAGTGAGACTTTGTCTCATAAAAAAAAAAAAAAAAGGTTCTAGATAAGAAAGATAAAATAAAACAAGGGAGAGAGATATTTAATAGGATTCGGTGTTAGTAGTAATTTGTTCCCTGTTTCCTTTTAATCCAGAAAGGCTTTCTATAGGGGATCAGGCTTGGAGAAAGAGAATAGAATAGTCAGCAACTGAAGGTGGAGAATAAAAGAGGGGCACAGGGCAACCAGAAGTGCCACCCCCTGACCTGGGACCATCCTTCCCTAAAAGTTAGTCACATCCACCCAGCCTCACCTGCTCCAGTTTCCAGAGGAACTTGACTGGACGGGCGCTCTCAAGCAGGGGCCAGTAGAGGAAGGCGATCCTGCAGCCATGGACAGTCAGTGAGTAGTGAGAAAAGCCATCCTCTGAGGGAAGATATGGGACAGGATCACATACAAAGCAGCAGGAAGGAGAGGACCTTGGATTCTGTTACTCCTCCTTCCCGTGCTCTCTCAGTCCCTCGTTCTCTAGCATGGGACTTTCACATACACACTCAAGCTTCTTGGGCATGCTGGCTGGCTGAGCAGGGCACTAGCCAGCCTGCTCCCACCCAGCTCTTCACTGGTTCTTTGCTTAATGTATCATGAGTTTTAGAGCGAAACCCCAGCTCTAAAAATAGCCGGGCATTATGGCAGGTGCCTCTAGTCCCAGCTATTCAGGAGGCTGAGGCAAGAGGATCACTTGAGCCCAAGAGCTTGAAGTTGCTGTGAGCTATCATACCATGGCACTCTACCAAGGGTGATAGAGTGAGACTCTGTCTCAAAAATAAAAAAATATACCATGGGTGACGACTCTTTTCAGGTCAAGAGACACAAGGTCAGAGAAGTGGCTAGAAATGAAAGAGCAGGCCGAGCAGCTCTCCCTGGAGGGATATGCCAATACACTAGAAGAAAGAGAAGTACTTAGAGATGAAGCCAGTCGGCCTTTAGGGGAGGAAGATGGGATGATGGTGGAAGGGAAGGAATGGGGTCCACCATTACTCAGGCTTTCCCAATACCATGGAGGGGCTCTGATGTAATACCATGGAGGGGCTCTGATGGGAGTAGAGATGGGGAGCAGTCTACTACATGGCAGGGTACAGAAGGCTGACTAAGCAACTGCAAATGAGAGTGGCAGTGGGGATTCCCAGTACATGAGAGCAGTAGGACCTCAACATGTCATGCTGGGGTAAATCACAGAATTTCAGGGAGTGTCAAACCTAGCACTGGCATCCTACAAATGAAGAGAGGAGATGTGCCCTGTGCAGTCACATACTAGACACTGGCAGAGGTGGGACAAGAAGCCAACTTCCCACTCCCAGGCTGGTGCCCTGGGGAAGGCTTACCATTCTGGACCGTGTTACACACAATGGTTTCCTCTTCCTTCTTTCCCTTGTTAGGAGTTACACCATGTTTCATCCAGAAGGACAGGGTAAAGTGGTCACTGAGGCTGCCTTGGGGCCCAGAGCCCAGCCCACCTGGGCCACCCAAGGGCACCTGCACAGCCTGGGTGCCATTGAACCAGTAGATCAGGCTGCTATCCTGGCTGTAGTGCACCGAGAGCCCTGCTGTCCAGTTGGCATTGGGGCCAGGCATGGGCAACAGATCCACTTCCCCAGTGGCAGCACCTGCAAGAGCCCCAGGAGGCCTGAGCGTCAGAGCTGAGAGGCAGCAGATGGAGAACGGGCAGGAGGCAAGGAAAGAGGGACTGATGGGAAAGAATTTCCCACAGCTAGTTACACTGCCTCTGTGGCCATTCAAAGATGAGAGAGAGATGGACTTTTTCCTAGAAATGTCTCTCTATTTAACTCAACCCTCTCTCCAACTCTCCATCTCCTCCTACCACTGTACCATCAGTGCTACAATTATGCATTTTTGCCAAAGATGTATATCTACCTGCCCTTTGGGCCATAAGTTCTAACTATGTGCCACAACCCTGTAGATAACACATCTGTGGATGGCCAAAGAGATATAAGGCAAAGTCTTAGGAAAGGGGCAGAAGAGGTTGGTGCAGAGGCTGGATGAGAAGGGAAAGGCCTGAGGGAGTGCAGGGGGAAGAGTGCACCCACCACAGAGTTTGCGCAGTGCCCGCTCTGAATAGTTGTCACGGTCACAGCCCTTGGCTACATGGCTGGTCTGCAGCTCTATGGTGGCCTGAATGTTCCAGAGTGGCTCATCACAGGTCTCCAGGCGGATACCAGGAAACAAAGCCAAACTCCCAGCACCTGGTGCATACTCAATCCTTTTGTTCCAGCCTGCATGAGTGAGGCAGAGAGGGCAGGAAGGAGAGAAGAATGAAGCCACATCCCTTATCCATTCTCCCTGTGCTATGTCCTCTATCTTGGGCTCCTAGGGAAAATGGTCTGGCCCAGGGAGATAGCTATAAGCCTACCCCAGATATCCCCTCACCCCTAGTCTAGCTTCCATACTTGTCAGAAGGGACCAAAAAAGAGACCAAGGTAAAAGATGATTGGCAAGATGGGTCACAGAGCTGAGCTTCTCACCTTGCCAGCTGGGTTTACAGGTGGGCTTCACCTGGATCTCCACCTCAGCATCATCAGCTGCCCGCTTCTTCCCACAATCATAAGCCGTCACTGTGAACTTGTAGAGCCTTTCACCGCTATACTGAAGCTTCTCTGTGTTCTCAATGTTCCCTGGGCAGGAAGCAGGAGGGCAGAGAGTCAGGACCACTGGGGGAAAGTCCAGGGAAACAGGGAAGGATTTGCAGCTGACCAGATAGCAAGTAGTTGAGAAAGAAGCAGAAAGCTGGGAAGAAGGCATCTGGGAGCAGAAGACTCCACATCTGGGGAGGAGGTGAGAGTCTGAGGTGCAGACAGACAGTATAGCCTGGGGTGGTCCTGAGGGATTTAGGCACACAAGGGCTGGGCAGCTGGAGAAGGCAGGGGCTGGACTCACCGTCATTGTCAATGAGGAAGGGAGTGTTGGGTGTGAGAATCTCGTAGTAGCAGATCTGACTATACTGGGGGGAGCAGTCACCATCGATGGCTTCCACACGGAGGATGCGGTCATACAGCTTCCCCTCTGTCACTGCGGCACGGTACAGCCGCTCCACAAACACTGGGGCAAACTCATTCACATCATTGACTCGCACATGCACAGTAGCCCTGCACATACCAGCGTGGGAGGAGGACAAGGACCCATCAGCAAACCTCCATATGACACAGGGATGTACCAAAACACAGAAAGGTGCAGGAATCTCAACAGGGAACCAGAGGGAGCCCGTCTATCCCTCTGATCAAGGCAGTCACCCACAGGGCACTGGGCAAGGGAGAGGCCCAAGGAAGGGTGTTTGGTGAGGGTGAAGGGGTGAGGAGTGAGCCCTGAGGGAAAACAGGAGCTGATTTGATGACTTCTATACAGAATGGTCATAGCTTAGAGTTAGGGAGTAGGCACAAAATCTAGCAGGTCCTTCTTTCACAACTGTTAGAGCCAATGAGATAATCAAGAAAAATGCATAGTAAATGCCAAATTAAAGCCTGCCATAAAAAAGGAGATGGCATTTGTCCAAAAGTCATAAGTCATATGACACACCTGAGTAGTATCTGTGAGCTGTGGGCTGCCCTCTGTGCATGTGGGTGACAGGTGTGTGTCTGGATGGCCTTTCCTACTCCTATACCCACCGGGCAAGCTGGGTCCAGGCCCTTCGTGCTGAGCTGTGCCACTAGCCAAGATCTAGGTCCCCAGGGCCCAGAGGCAAGAGTCTATCTTCAAAAAGGAAACTGAGTCACAAAAAGTATTTCTATCTCTAGCACACCTTATGGCCCAGACCCAACCCTCTATCATGCTACAGCCATGCTACAGCTTACCCTTGCCTACAGCCTCTTGTGTGTGTGTTATTAATATGATCATGTGTGTGGTGAGTTCTGCAAATAGACCAGAGGGAGCAGATGAAAGGAATTTGGATGTGCGCTGAATGTGTCCATCCTCTCCCTCTTATTCTCATCACAACTCCCATGCATCGAGCCCTGTACCATGTGGCAGGCACTGTGCTGGATGCTTATAACACAAACTGTCTCCTTTAATCTTCACAGCAACCTTATGAAGTAGGTACGATCACTGTCTCCATTTTACAGATAAGGAAAAGCAGGTCCAGAGGGCTAAGGTACCTGAGGTCATAAGAGGCAGAGGCAGGATTAGATCCCACTGAACTCTACTATGTGTTTCTATCTCCTTGATTGAAGGTCCCTAAATCCTAAGAACAGCAGGGAGTGGGTAGATACCTAATGCTGACAGGGAAAGAGGACAGCAGGGGGGCTTGGGAGCAGGGAGGAGGGCCCTGCGGCACGTGGGGTGGGGGACAAGGACCTCCTCACTTGTGGGACTTCTTGGTGTTGGCCCCGTCAGGGCCCTCGCCACAGTCATAGGCCTGGATGGTGAAGGTGTGCTCCTTCTGGGCCTCGCAGTCCACAGGCTCCTTGGCCCGAATCAGCCCTTCTCCTGTTGCCTTGTCCAGGATTACGGCCTCAAAGGGCACCCCAGACCCATGGAGCCGGAAGCCGCAGATCTCACCTGGCCAAAGGGGGCAGGGAAGAATAAGACTCCTGCACCACCTGCTGCATCTCCTTCCTGCCAGCAGCCTCCCTACCTGGGGCCAGCTCTGCCTCTCCCTCCCAAGCTCCTATCCCTCCTCCTGCAGGCAGAAAGTTTTTTTTTGGGGGGGGGGGTTTGTTTGTTTGTTTGTTTGTTTTGTTTTAAGTTTTTTTTTTGTTTTTTTTGAGACGGAACCTCAAGCTATCCCCCTGGGTAGAATGCCATGGCATCACGCTCACAGCAACCTCCAACTCCTGGGCTCAAGCGAGTCTCCTGCCTCCGCCTCCCAAGTAGCTGGGACTACAGGCGCCCGCCACAATGCCCGGCCATTTTTTGGTTGCAGCCATCGTTGTTGTTTGGCGGGCCCGGGCTGGGGATTCCAACCCGCCACCTTAGGTGTATGTGGCTGGCGCCTTAGCCGCTTGAGCCACAGGCACCGAGCCAGGCAGAAAGTTTTAATTATCAAACATACAGCTTCCTTAAGCAGCAGCTTCCAGGCCTGAGATCTGGTAAAGCTCTGATGTGTTTAACCCCAGACTGCTACATCCTTCCCTCACTGGCATCCATGGCTCAATTTTCATTCTTCAATGGAGCCCATTCCCCACCTTGAACTGACTTCTTCCTCTTTCCCCAGGCCTTTTCTCCACTTTCTCAGTGCTCCCAGGACTTCCCCTCCATCCTTTGCTCTTGGCCCTTCTACTTGTTTTTCTCTTACCTACCCTGCCTTGTTCCCACACCCAATTACCTGCATAGCGCAAGGGGGCATCCTTATCCAAGGCGAAGAGAGGTGGGTTCAGCAGGACTGTGTTGTCATTCTCCATGACGATGCCTTGGTATTCTGCCTCGATCCATGGCTTATGCTTGTTGGCTAGCACCACCCCAGAGAGAAGAGAGGAAGCACCTGTGAGCAGGACACCATTCCCACACCAACCCTCATCAACCTAGACAACTCACACCCAGCACCATGACTCTTTCTACCCTCTGTGGGAGCACCTTGCAGGAGAGAGGGCTGAGGACAAGAAATCTGCTACGAAAGGAGTCCAAGGGTCTGCAGGAGGTCCAAGCCTCCTTCTATAGCAGGATTGATAGTTTCCATGGCAATAGCCTGCCCTGAGGAGAAGAGGACCACTATCTCCCCTGGGAACCACAGTAGAGGGGGGGAGAGTGGAGAACTGTCTTTAGAGAATTTACATGCTGGAGAATGGAATGGGGACTGAGGGAGCAGTGGGGACTGTCAGAAGGAAGATGTTAAGGGCAGAGTCGAAGCCAGAAAAAGAAGATCTAGAAGTTTCCTGAGATCCTGATTGTTTATCTGCCTCCCCATCCCATTTCTGCCCTTCTTCCAGCCAAACCCCAACCTAAAGCCATTCCCCCAGAGCAGAGGAAGAGGAGAGAGTGGAAAAAAGAAGATATATAGGACAGAGGGAGGGGGACAGAGAGGGGCAGGGATGGAGCAGAAGAATCGATGCCAAATGACTGGACCCAGCAGAGCTGACATCCTAAGGGATTAAAGAGCTGGCCTAGAAACATGACCAATCCCTTCCCTGCTTTCCGCCCCCACACCCAAGAGACCACATTCAAAACCAGCACATTTCTATGCCCTCTGCAAGGCCACCAAACCCTACACTCCCTTAACTCCTCTTCGTTTACAGACCTTTGGCTTAATCTCAAGTCTTGTGTACCCCACCCTTCTTCCCTCAATCCATTCAAGCTGATGTGGATTCAGACTCCAGATCTCCCCACCTCCTCCACAGGCCCAATCTCCCATCAGCGTGGTGAGGGGGCCATAGGGCAGCAAAGCATGTTTTCCCTTCCACATCACCCCCCTTCCCCAACCTCTACTACTTGCTCCATCTAATCTCACTGTACCCACACCCAGGCTCCTCAAGCACATCCATGATGGCATCAGAGGGAAACTGAGTCACCAAAGGGCACCTCACCCCCAGTACCTCACGGTGAGCAAGAAATCCTGACATCCACCCTCCCCTTCAGCTACAGCCCAAAAGCCTGGCATCTGAGGCTTTCCAGTTGATGACCACCATAGTCTTTTCCCTGATGGCTAAGGAGAGAGCCACAAGATGGTGCACAGGAGGCAGCACAGGAAGTGGCAGGAGGCTGAGAACCAAGCTGAGGTCAAAGACCGAGGTGGGAGCTCCAGCCATCTGGGGTAGCATGTTCAGAGGGCAGAGCACCTGCTCCATGGCTCATCCCTGTGCCACTGCTTCCTGTCAGGGTCTTTAAGCCTCTGCCTCCCCATGCCTCTCCCCTTAGCCCCTCTGTCTGTTTGAGTCATCCCTTTTCACAAACTCCTAGGCTCCCTGTCTCTTCCTTGCCTCTCTCCCCTACCCTCTTCTCACCTTTTTGCTGATTTTCCTCTCATTCGTTCCTGTTTTCCAGCCTCCACCTTTACCCTCTCCCACGCCTCACCTCCCGTCTTCCCCTTCTCAGCTTTCCCTCTCACCACTCCTTAACGCCCCCCCCCACACCCACTTCTGCCCTTTTCTGCCTAGCTCCACCATCTCCACCTACCTGAGCCCTCTGCCCCCAAGCCCTTCCTCCCTCTGGCAGCCTCACCCAGTAGAATTTATCTGCTGTCTGCCAGAGAGGGCAGCTCTGGTAACCCACAGCCCAGCTGATGCAGGCATGGGGTATGAATGCAGAGGAACACGAAAAACATACGTGCTCCGAATTGCAGAGCTGCAATGAACAGTTTCTCCCCAGGATAGGATGGAGGCGAACCAGATGGATATGCCACACACCCTTAGCATGCGCACACCCCAGTGAAAACGGAGAACCACTGAGAGATGCATATTACCCCTCGGGGGCAAATCCTTCTGAGACCCCAGATAGCTACCAAGTGGAGGAATTGGGAAGGGTAGGAATAGAGACTCCAGGACAGAAGCGAGATGACCAGCAAGAGAAGCACATGGAAGGATGAACCAGAGAGGATGTGGCGAAGGCGGAGTGAGGGAGAGGACAAGAGAGCAGGGTTGGTAAAGGATGGGAACGCGGACCACCAGAAGAGACAGACACCTGTCATGTGCCAGACAGCCTCAACACCTCCTTCCTGCCTTACCCCCCACGTTTTCTGCCCCGCACCCTCTTCCAGAGCCCCCACCCCCACCTCACTCACCTTTGTTACTGGAGCAAGATGAGAGCAAGGAGGCCAGCAAGAGGGGCAGCAGCGGGAGCGCCATGGTGCAGAGTGGGGTAGGGAAAGGCCAGCGACTAGGAGCCTTAAGCTCGCTTATTCCACCCTGGGGTGGGGGGTGGGGGTCGCAGGGGCTCTCTGAGGAGAAGAGGGAATGAGGAGGACAGCAAGGTAGTGACAGGAGGCTACCGCCCACACTTGTCCACGGAGCAGACCCGGGCAGATCCCAGTCTGGGTGACTGAGCCGGGGACTTGCAGGAGCTCCCGGTTCCCTCCGAGCCCAGCGTCCTCACTCTCACTCCCACCCCATCCCCTCTACTGCAGGATGATGTCAGCACAGCCAAGCAAGGATTGACAGGGCCGCTGACCAATCAGGTGGCTGGGTGGGCCAGGTGCTGCAGGGTGGGAGGGAGCCAATGGGACTGGGGGGTTAGGGCGGGAGAGTGTTAGGGCTTTTTCCCCTGACTGCAATTTGGGGGAGCAAGTCAACTGCGGGGGTTGGGGAGGAAGCTGGAGAGCCGTAGAGGGGGTGGAAAATAAGAGGGACGTTAGGGGAATGGAGAAGCTAGAAGCCAAAGAGTGCGCAGGGGAGACGTCAACGGAGACCTGAGGGCGGGGAGGAGAGGCAGCATCCACGTCACCCCGCCCCCCAACTCTGCATTAGCCTCTTTTTACAGCCTATTCCATCAGCAAGTCCCTGCTGCGTGCCTTCTGGGAGCTGTGAAGTAAAACCCTCAGTCTGAGAAATCCTGGCATTTCAGTTTCCAGCCCAGATCTTGGAGGAAGCTATTGGATGGTCCACAAGAAGATGGAAAGGCTCTGGGCCCAGAGGAAGGGTGATATTTGTGCACCCCTCACACACATAGGACACTTGTCAGGACAGCCCACCACCAGCTGAAATATCAGGCCCTGTTTTCCCACTGCCTACCCTCCCTACCTTTCTCACCCCAAATTTCTCACTTTAAACCATGATAAACGAAGCCAAATTGATTCTGAAGCCCAAGAAATTGGCAGTTTGAGAGAGAACTTAACAACTGGGAGCAGAGCACACAATAATTTAGGGCCCCATCCCACCCTTGCTGGAATACATCTGGTAAGCATGGGCTGTCCACAGGCTGAGGGCTAAGGGTGATGGTATCATCTGTGACTCAGAGGAAGAGAAAAACCCTGGGTCCCAAACCAAAGCGTAAAATTCTCCAGAATAGCGAACCAAGCTCCTCCCCGGCCTTCTGCTCTGGACTTTGAACGTAACACCCTATCAAGCTGGCTCTGTGCTTGGGAAGAACAATTTCTCTGCCTCCCTATAGAACCAACAGTCTGGGATACCTGTTTGGGGTCCCAGTTCAACAAACTAAGGGAGCTATGGGGGCCAGCACTCCAGGGTGTTCCTCACTGTGGCTCCTGGCCAGCTGCTGTCCACGCTTCCTCACCTTGCACCTTTCAAGACCCCAAAGTTAGTCTCAGGATCTCAAGATATTGTTAGAATTCATCTCTACCCCACCACACAAGCCAGACCAGCCACAGCTGCCCCGGAGAAGAGACTGACCCCCAGACCCTGGGGCAGTTCTCAATCCTGCCAGAAAGAAGGAGATGGAAACTTACCTTGAGAAAAGCTCAGGTTTTTGGATGACTGATAGCCCCAGATGCTGCTTCAGGTTCCTTCCTCAGGAAAAGCCAAGGTCAGGCACACTTTGCCAAGTCCCTGCAGACAAAAGCCCCAAATTTATCATAGAGGTAGGGAGGAAGTCTGGGAGGGACTCTTATTTCAACAGGGCCCCCAGCCCTATAAAAGCACTGGTAATCGCCTTTCTGCACTTCTATCTGTGTGTGTGGAGCTGGCCTGGAGTTTCTCACCTCACCTGCCGGACAACTCCTTCTCCCTCCTCAGCCTGTCTCCTATCTTCTCCTGAAACCTTGATCTTCATCTCTGCCAACCCAGACAATGCCTCCCAACCTCACTGGCTACTACCGCTTTGTCTCTCAGAAGAACATGGAGGATTACCTGCAAGCCCTAAGTAACGGGGGCCTCACTCTCCCAGACCCCTTGTGCTCCCCCCTCTTCCCTTTCCCTTCCTGCTTTTTGGTTCCAGGGAGAAGTGGGGGTGCTGGGGCTAGATATTGTGGTTCAGACAGCTGGCACCTGCCTTGGGATCCATTTCAAATGAGGGGCATTGCTACGAGGGGTTAAATCCCAGACCCAGTGCTGGGAAAGCCCTGAGGTGCCACTACTGATGGGACAGCTCCTGGCTGGCAGGTAGGCCCCTTGCTAAGAGAAAGTCCCCACAGACATTAACATGGCTCTGCGGAAGATAGCACTGCTGCTGAGGCCAGACAAGGAGATCGACCATCAGGGTAACCATATAACAGTGAAGACTCTCAGCACCTTCCGCAACTACGTTCTGGAATTTGAGGTGGGAGTCGAGTTTGAGGAGGACTTGAGGATTGTGGATGGACGAAAATGCCAGGTACTTTTCCTCTGGCTGGGGGTGGAGGGTGCTGTGGTGTAGACAAGCAGGTTGCTCCTAACAATCTAAGGCAAAACAAAGTGACTTGTGCAGCCACAGCCAGGAAAATGATCACTACAGCAAGCCATAGATTCCCAAGGATACCCACCTCTGGGACTAATGGATCCTCATGAACCCCTGCTCTCTCCTACTTCTTCCCCAGCCCTCTTATCATTAGCCAAAAGTATAGAGGGCAAGTTCCCCCAAGTCAATGGGCAAACACTTGCTCACCTTCCAGCCTGTGTTACCCAGATTCTCTTTTACTTAACCTCTATAACCCCACTCTCCTGCCTTTCTTTCTACATCTTGCATGTTCTTTCTTGGCCTCTTTTGCAAATTCTCTCTCTTTTTTGCATGCTATCCATGAACCAAATCATCTACACCCATGTTTTCTGCTACCATCTATGAACTGCTCTTGACATACATTCTCCAACCAGAGCCATCTCCCACACTCTAAGGCAATGTTTCCAACTGCCTGTGGCCCTCCATATCC